GAAACGGTGGCATTGGACCCTTTGGTACAGGGGGTGACACACACACACACACACGCATACCATGAAAAAGAAACACTTGTTGGTTGAGACGTGTTGAGAAGATCTTGCACCGCCTGAGAGACAGGGATTAAGCAATTACATTGTCTTGATATGAGATCGCGGCCAGGACTCACCTTGCCAGCAAAAACGAATAGCATGATGACAACGAGCAAACCTCCAAGCTAGAAAACACGGGCGGAACCGCTGTGCAACTCTACTGCTCAAGAGATAGATCCTTAAAATAGACCAACCAAATATAGATATAGATAGAAAGTGGATCCCCACTAAACAGTAGTAACTTTGTGTCCCTTTGTATAGACCATGCTCAATAGATCTCCACTAAGAATGTATAGGCAAACCATGCGTGCATGCCACTATCTCTTTGGGGACCTCGCACCACTCAGACAGCAGCCGCTGTCCTCCAGCTCGCTGATGACACTTCGAAGCTCCGTCTGGTTTCGATGTAACCTGCGGGACGACGTGATCTTCGTCGGGTAGGACGACGTGACCGCGAACGGAGACCGCGAACCCCGTTCGCACTGAGATCCTCAGTCTTCTTCGTAGAGCTAATTCACCTGGTGCGGCAGGTTTGCAGAAACAATGGTCTGAACGCACCTGGTGTCTTGAAAATGGGATCCCTATATGATGGCAACAAAAATAATGAAAAACACGGGGTGCCCGAATTTGGAGGCCTCTGGGGAGAGCTGCTCGGTCTTTCTTCCCAGCGAGCATATTATTGATGAATACAATTTCCAAAAAATATGTTAAAGTTCAAGGGGCAATGCAGTTTTAGATGTCTATAGTCTATAGTCTAATTAAGGGCAACTACGGGTAACAGAATTGCAGGACATGTCCCAGCGTTTTATAATACATATGGTAGTAGGTAACTTAGTAGGGACTATTTGCAAATACCTACCTGGATGCCTCCCAAAGGTGTCAAATGGAAACTAACATGTAATTTGATGCACGTACATCCGTAAAGCCCTTGTATGGTCCTGACACTTCAATTGGGTTCGCGAGGTCATCCTTCTAGCTGCTGGAGCCCGATGCTCATCGATTTTCACCCCCTCCCTCATGCTCAGCACGCGGCGTTCGACGAAGATCCATGATGTCCTGATCTGGACCAAGGCGGGCGGCGACTTGTGGGATGTCCATCCAGGCGCTCCAGCGTGAGTGTTTCACCCGAGTTTCTTGCGTTGGATAACATATGATAACATCAAAATTCCTGGGGGTCAAAGGCGGTTGGTGAGCCCAAGATATCATGATCCAGCGTGTCCATGTGGTTCCAAGTCCTATGACAGGGGAATACACGTGCGATATGTGGGGAGGAATGATGAAAAACCGCTGGAATGATCAGGGATCAAGCAAGAGCAACTACAGTTCTTGAACCCAAAAGAATCACCCCCTTGAACAAATACCTCAAACAAAAAACACTAAATGTAAAATCACAAGCAAGATTCGTCAGCCCCCAAGATACTGGCTGTACCGTGGTCGAACGCTCTTTTCTTTTCACCCCCCAAAAAGGTGCGTCTTCGGCCCGAGCTTTACATCTGGAGTCCGGAACAAGACACATATCCTTGCCGCCCGTGCCTTCAAGGTCACGGCATTGGAGCCTCGCAAGGACATAATCACGTTCAAGAACTCTTCGAACGTAAGCTCCTGGAGACGTGAAACGATTCCATCCGACACGTAAGCGTTGAACAAAGCCGAGTCTTTGGTGAGAGGACGCAATCCAACCGCTATCACAGCAACTGGGTTGGACCTCTCCTCCTGTACAATCTTCCAATTTGGAGAATCATTAATGTATAGAATAGATCCCATATGATCCCATATGATCCTATATAGGTGTATCAAACGGAAACCAAAAGAAGGTCCTCTGGACCACACGTTCCACCTCGGCCAGTGGGTCTGACCTCCAATCCGACTAACCTCTCCGAGTCTACACATGGGGGAGTTTGCTGAAAAACGGTGGACTTCTCCAGGGATCTCCTAGGCCTTTCCAGATTCACCATGTGTTTGGAATTTGGAACACGACATGTATGGGATTCTATGGGACCTGGCAAGTTATTGAATTCAAACCACGCCTGTTTGTCCATGTTTTGGGGTGGGAAAATCTCCACGATCGCGAAGTTGTGTAGAGTAGTCCATGACTCCCTTTTGCATGGTCTTTTTCGTATGCGAATGTTTTCGCGGCCAACAAACACTCTAGAACACATAAATCTTCCATGATGATCATCTGGTCCCTCGGTCGCTTGTGCCAGTCATGTTGCCATCCTTTGGCATCTCTGGATCCTGAAGGTATAGCAGTAGACACTCGTTTTTACAAAGACCTAAGAGACGTATACTGGACCTATACAACCACCCTTCACCATGGAAGAAGCCACCACTGGTGGCAAATCATTCTCCGGTCCCAACAGGAAATACCACACATCCGCAGCATATATATATGGGTCTTTCTTTCACCATCGCCGCAGCTCAGCTCCACACGGAGCTCGCTCCGCTCTTTGTTCCGCGGTGTGCGCGGAATCGGCCGGAAGCGGTCGGAAGCGGTCAGGGTCTGTCTGCACAGAAGCAGTGCTTCGAGACGCCATACCTGAGGATGGGAGGATGGGAGGATTCGACCGCGGATTGGATTTTATAAATTTAATGGGCCCTGGGCCCCTCTGACCTCTGGGGAGTTGCACACTCATCAGCAATTCTAGCACACATGCACGAATTCGATTGGTGTTTGGCAATTAAGGGCCGCTAGTTTTGAAGCGGAGTCTGATACAAAAGGTTTTGAAGCGGAAACTACACCTGTGTTGAAAACAGAACTGTGTCTACCCAGTGTACCTACTGAAGTGTGTCTGGAAAGCAGTCTGTATAAACACTAGATACACGACTTGATAATTGTAGTATATTGTAGTAGAGATTGAATACAGAACTTCCACGGTCGAGCACTTCAGCAAAAGAAAAGCTAGCATAGGGTAAGGGATCTTCGACTTCCGCCGCGCGCGGGGGACTGTTGGTCAACACATGTTGCGTGATCTGGTGCACAAACGCGTCCCGAATCATGCATCGTTGACCTCCTCAATTTGGGTCTATCTTCCCAGGAAACAGGTCTGCCTCAAACATCTGTTCGATCATCCTGACACCTGAATGACTTACAGTACACTCACAGTCTCACGGTGTTTACTCTCCACACAACTTGTCAAACTTCCCAGCATGGTCCTGGTCTATCAAACAATATTCATCCATTCCAAGTGAGCCACTGACACAGAAAATCACTCCCTCTTGCAGTGCCCCACGAGAAAAAGCAAATCTTCGAGGACCTCATGATTGCTGAATGACCCTTATTTTCTGGACATGGCCAGTTTTGGGGTGGACTCCATGATCTTCCAAACTACTGTGCATCTCTTTTCTTCAACAAAAAGGATCGTGGGACCCCCATTGTCACCGAGGAACAGTGGATCACCTCCAAAGTCATGTTCTCCACCTCATCACGGACAAAAAGCGTCGGCGTCACTCGTCACGCGTCGCCGCCGCTTGCTGGGCAGAGTGCCAGGGTTTCGATGGTTTCGATTGGACCTCTGAGCCAGTTTGGTTCATTGGAAGCGGAAACTGCTAGTGGTATTGACACGAGTTCGTGCAGACCGGCTGGCTGATAGGGCTGCTATGCAGCGTCCTTCTTGACCTCTCACTAGAGGATACGCTTGAAAAGCCCAGGGTTTTCCGAATGCCAACCCAGTAGTTTTCAGGTTCGTTCATCTTTGGCGCATCGAAGTGAAGCAAAACCGAAGAAACGGTTGCATCTACAGAACCTTCACCCACTGAGAAGCAACTAAAAGATAACACAAACCACCCGCAAAGAGAGAGAGATGAACAACATGAAACATGGTCAACCTTAACATGAATTCGGTCAGTTCATTTCAGTTCTATAACATTGCATATCACATCAATATATCCTGCCAATCCCGTCATGCGATCTACAATGACCCGGACATGTTGGCTGAAAAGGCCTTAACCTCCTTAAACTCTTCCTCAAAGAGGGTGGGAAACGACCAAGGAGGGTGCAAACCCCGAACCAGGGAACCACGGATAAACACGGCGCTGCACTTCGAATGCCCGACGCTTGCACTTGGGAAAACCTGTCGCTTTGCGCACGTTAACTCAGGTTTGTGTCCAGCAATCGTTTCGCAGAACATATCCAACAAGTTCCAACAAGATCAAAACAATTGGCCCAGCTGATTCTGCCATCTCTTGCAAGCGAGTTGCATCTGATGGAGGATGACACTTCTTGAACCTCATACTGTGTTTGCATCATGGTCTCCAGGTTGGTTTCGCCACTCCCATTACAGGCAAACCTCCGAGCGGTTTCGCACACAAGGCCCGCGTGACGCAGCACGGAGTGAACTTTCGGATGAAGGAACACTCTGCTCATTCCTTGGCGAACTCTATCTCTAGTACCCTGGCTACAATCATGACATCTCACTTCTTACTAAATCGTTCCTTTTGTCTGCAAAGTTTCGTCCAACTATGGACTCCAAATCCAATCGACACACTGATCTCAATGCAGTAGAATTTGCAGTCAGCTTCTGACACGCAGAAAACACGTATAAAAACGTGCACGGCGGCCTTCGTCCATAGAAAGCAATGCCCTGACAGTGACAAAGACCACCTGAAACCGAAAGTAACAACTCTCACGCGGCGGACTGCTTCGGCCCACCAACTCTCCATGTGGCGTCAAGGACTGCGTGAGCAATCAAAGAAATTGCGGGTGAGAACTGTGGAATTCCTCAAATCATCCATGAACAATCCCCAAATCACCACATCACAAACTTTACACACCTTCTTCGTCTTCAGGGGTAGTTTGTTTTCTTTCAACTCATCACTCAACTGCGCTGACAAATCCTACAATAAGCCTAATGAATGACGTGTTTATGAATAACCCTCCGGCCCTACCAGTCAGGATGCATCTATATTATATATATATATTGTTGAGGATCCATGACCACAAATAGAACATTAATAGAAATGTATGCACAATCCAAGGTCATTTCTAACGCTGCCACATTTTGAAGACATTGCGGGTTCACAAAATGAGGCACCTGAAGTGTATTAACAACTCACAATCATTGTCGGATGATACGTGTGTTTGACATGACATGGTTTCTTGTCATGATGGATTCCACTTGGAATGATTTAAGGTGCCCTGAGACCATTCTCCCGGGATTGCGTTCGGAACTTCGTTCGAAATCGAAACATTGCTTCATCACAGGCTGTGGCCATGTTAAGGATTTGTTCCCCACATTGACGTGAGGGGTTTTTGGTTTGGTGTGGTATCCGCTCGTGCCTCCGCCTCCTCCCGCCTCCCGCTTGTCACCAGCTACTTGTCATCAACCGATTGTCATCAACCAGCCATTGTCACCAACCAATTGCTACCCACCAACTGCCACCAATTCTCACCAACAAATTGTCACCAACAAGTTGCCACCAACAAATTGTCACCAACCAATTGTCAACAACCAATTGTTAACAACAAATTTCCACCAACCAATTGTCGCCAACCAATTGTCATCAACCAATTGCCATCCACCAGTTGTCACCAACGAATTGTCATCAACAAATGATTTGCTTGCCGATTGTCTTCTCCAGGGGGTCGGATGTACGCCCTGGCGCTGGCTGGCGCTGGCTGGAGCTGCTGGGTCTCCGCCGCTGTGCCGCTCTTGCGTGCGCGGTGTTCAAAAACACTGTGCTTTACAGGGCTTTGTTGGCGTGGAAGATCAAAATTTTGGACAGTGGCGAAATGCAAAAACTGTGGGTTTTACAAGGGTGGTGTCGGTACTGCACGCCGCGCGGACGTGCATAATCGGATTTTTTTAGTGATGGGCCCGTGTCAAGGCAAATGGCACAAAGTGTACCCCAAGATGAGCCAACAAAGGCCCCCAAGATAGGTCCAAGATGGGTTAACATAGCCCCAAGATGGCCCAACATAGGCCCAAGAGGGGCCCAACATAGGCCCCAGAAAGCCAAGATGGGCCAACATAGGGCCAAGCTAGGCCAACATGGGCGCAAGATGGGCCAACAACAACAACAACAACGGTGCTGGTGGGTCTCTGCCCTTCTGAAAGGATTATTTTTGAGGGCCTGTTACAAAAAAGAAAAAACATCGTCCTCAACCAATTGTCATCAATCAATTGTCACACCAACCAATTGTCACCAACCACCTACGCACACATTCTCTCTTGCTAAGTTGCTAACATGTGGGGTTATTCGGTCCTATAATGTTTACTGCAATAAGTCATTCAGCCGTTGTTCAAATAACGTTCCTGGACGTTCAATTCTGAACGCTTTGTGGCAAACTGCACAACACACACATATCCAGATGTACTGTTTTCAACTGCTTTACATGTGGCCTGTGCTATGAAGCGTGCCAGTGCACTTCATCGGGAACAGCAGCGGCCAAAAGCCGCTGCTGATGTAGCATAGGACCAACTTTCGATCCACAGGGTATATATATAGGGATTTTTGGTTCAACAGTCAACCATTAATTAGTCAACCACATAGTCCACCTGCTTCTGCCTTCTGTCTGGCTAAGCCACCATCATTGGCACACTTCCGGACGAGGTCACCATGCGGCACTTGGCGCCGTTTCACCTGGCTGAGTTTGTAGAGCTCCC